TGAGCCAACCGGCCATCCCTATATGGGATCCGAACCCATGGCCTTGGTGTTATCAGCACCATACTCTTCTGAGTGAGCCACGGGCCGGCCCCCTGAGTGCATTTTGAATAGCATCTGCTTGGGTAGTGGCCTGTCTCCTTTTGCAGTAATCTTGTTAGCTCTTGGATTACAAGTGCTTCTTTATTCCTTACATCAATTACATTAATTACATTAATGACCTGTCCTTACATCAGAGGCTGAAAATATGAGATAGTGCATGCAAAGCACTTCTCACAGTGCCTGCACACAGAGCACTCCAAAATGCCAGGTCTGGAGGTTTTTTTGTTCTGTAGTAGGGTAGTAGACTCTCTGCCTTAACCACAGACACTCTCCAAAAGGGAGGTTGTGACCTCTGCCAAACTCATTCCTTCCCCAGATTCCCACGCTCGGTAGATCGCTCCTCCTCCATCAGCCCAGTTTTCTAAGCCAGAGACTTTAGAGTCCTCCCCAACATCCCTCCCTCCTTCACCCCCTCACCTGTCCCTCCAGGCATCTGCCAGTCCAGTCTAGTTGGCCTCGTCCAGGTCTCCTGTCCTGGAGGAGCCGACTACACAGTCACTTGTTATAGTCACCTGCTGGCAGTGAGCTCCATGAGGGCAGTGTCACATCTATCTCTGTTGTTCATTTCTGTGGCCTAGCTCAGGGCAGAGACTCTATCCATATTTATCAGTTGAGCAAGTCCAGTCTTCCCAGGTGCCAACCTATCCTCCCAGTCCAATGGAAATTTAAAAACTCAAAATCTAACTGCCCCTTTCAGGATCACTATAATTTCAGATCTGCTTAATCCCTGGAGGGCACTCACTCAGAGGCAAGTTTGTCCCTTGGGTAGGAACTTAATGAAGAGATGCTATTAAGGAGCCCAGTAATCTTTGAGTGACTTGAAGATCATTTTGCCTCTGCCTTAAGGAATCTCCTTGCATTGGCTGCATGGCTGACCTCCCTCCCTCCCCTCTCCCCCAGTTCACTATGTGCCAGCCACACCATCCTCCCCTCAGATTCTAGACAAGGCCAAGCTCCATCCCACCCCAGGAACTGTGCACCTGTTTTTCCCACTTTCCCTCTCATTTTTTACACAGCTGGCTCCTTCTCAAGATCCTGAGGCCTTCTCAGGTCATCCCAGTGAGATGCCTCCTCACCGTTCTCTCATCTCCTCTCTTTTCTGTGAAGCCCTTATTCCCATCTAGAGGGAGCGTTTGTTTAATTTGTGGCATCTCCACACCCTCTCCTCCAAATAGTAAGCCCAGCAAGGGCTCCTTGACCCTCTTGTTCATGGCAGTGTCCCTACTACCTGGAAGGTGCCTGGCATGTAGTAGGGACATAAAGAGTGATCCTTGAATGAGTAAGACACTAACGGCAATTTTTATTGTTTTCTAGAACTTTCAACTTGCAGTTTGAAATAGAAAAAAAAAAATGAAGCAGTTCGACTCAAAGCCTGCTGTTTAATCACAGATAAGCTTCTAGAAGAATCCTTGGAATGTGCATTCCTGCCACTTTTTTAGGCATCACTCATCAGTCTCTATTAACATCAGGGAACCCGGCATTTACCCTCCAGATAATGTGAAGTTTCTTCTTTCAGCCATCCCATCCTTTCAGCCATCATCTCCGGCCAGCCACTGGGGGTGTGGATGGAGAAGACGGGGTTGGGCCAGCCCTTCAGGGGGGATCCCTCCTACCATTGACACCACTAGGCTTTACTAATAAATTGTTTTCTTAGAGTTTAGCGAGTCCAGTGTCTGCAAAGGAAGCTCTTTTTGGAAAAGTTTAGCTTTTCTTTTTCTTATTCATCTGTCCATTCAGCCTTTCATCCAGCCATTAAGTCTTTCATTCATCTATTCAAACTTTCATGCAGACACCCATTCATCCACTATTCCACTTATCCATTCACCCACCAGCCAGCCAGCCAGCTGGCCACCAACCCACTTGTCCATCCACCTTCCACCCACCCTTTCATCCATCCACCTACCTACCCATCCGTCCCTTCAACCTTTCATTCCTCCATCACCCTTTCATTCTTCTATCCAAGCTTTGATGTACGCACCCCTCCATGCAGTCTTCCACTTATGCATCCATCCATCCACCTTCCACCCACCCTT